TAACTAGATTACAGTACTATCAGCCAGAATAGAGTCCAATGATACCCTCCCATAGCCAGACTGGCCAAAATGCAGTGGGTCCTGCCCTCAAATACAGAATAGACAAGTTTGTGACAATTTAGAGGGAGAAAAGGGCCTTTTTTTTTTTCTTCTTCTTCCCGACTACAAAAACATATTCAATGAGGGAACATTTAAATGAGCTGAAATCCTTAATTTACTGTTTAAATTTCAAGGAAAACTATAAGTTATGGATTTGTCTGGTGTTTATGTTCTTGCAGGATGTGTCTGGTTCGAATGAAGCAGGAGGGTCGAGCGGGGAAATATATGTGTCGCTATATAGTTCACTGTATGTGGGAGGACGTTGAACAGCGTGGTAAGCTGATGGGGGTAAGTCATTTTTGGTGTTGATTATTTTGATAACTGAAATGCTTTTGCAACTTTGTGTATCTTAGAAGAAACCCTAAGAATTAATTTGTAGCTCTGTGTGTATTTCTTTATTAGCTTAAGCTGGTATATGTAGCCTTTACTCTTCACTGTCATACCTTGACTGACTATTTTACTAAGCCTGTGAAGTTTTTTTCCAGAAATGTATCATGAACTGAATCAGTGCATTGATTTGACAGAAAATGATCTGTTTTCCACCCAGGTTCACCATGTCATTGCAGAAATAGGGATGCTGTTACAAGAGGGTTGGTATTAATGGATGGGAATGTGCAGCTGGTATAGGGAGAAACATGACTGATGACAAACATACAATCACAACTTAAGTAATTTCATCAGGGCTTTATCAGGGAGAAGGGGCAAAGTTTTGTAAATGAGTGTAAATAATCATTAGTTAAGTTTTCACTTTGACTCCCTAGTATATCAAGTCTTGATCGCGATTTAAATTAATAGATTAATAGATCAGTCGGACAAGTGACAATTTTCACGCAGCAGTAATGTCTTACGATGCAGACTTAGTTGTCAGCCACGTGCGCAAGGCAGGGGCAGCCCTAGAGTTCTCTGTTGGCATGAACAAGGGAATTAACTGTCAACTCGGGATTTGGTATGAAGTAACATTGGTAATTCTAGAGACTTATCTCTGATTATATCTTTTGTGTTTTGTGCAGTGTTGATTCTGGTATGACTTCAGTTATTCCATTCATGGTGGCTCCTTTTTTAAAACCTTTTTTTCTTCCTTCTTTTCCCATGTATTTGTCCGTTACTTCCTTAACTTTATTGTGCTACAGGTTACTTTTAAGGTCATGATCTTAATCTTCTTTTGGATTAAAGCCAAATTTAGGTATCTTAATCATTTCTTGCTACATTAATGGGCAGGTCATAAGTTCATATATAGGTATCTTTACTGCCCTCATCAGATGCTGTGAGGCAGTGTGAGCAAGCTTGGGCAAATCAGATAATAATAGTACAGGGCATTCTTAGCAGTACAATGTGTTCTCAAGAGCTTTTCCTTGGCTTTTCATTCTAGGAGGCAGAATGACCTAAGAGCTCATGCAGCAGATTTCAGGCTGTGCTGCTTTTGTGACCTGGAGATTAAGCATGAGCCACTCACTGAGCAGAGGAACTGAGCCCCCTTCTAGAAATGTACGTTGATGGGCAAATGGCAAACATTGCACGTTGTTAGATAGCTGGTCTAAAATTCCTGTATCGAATTGCATTTTTTCAAGTTTTTTTTTTTCAGTGTTTCCTTGTCTTCAGGTATTGGTTTTTACTTCTTTTTTTGCTGTAGTTTTGGCTAAGAAAGAGATAGAAACCTGCTAAGTAAAAACTACCAGAGGAAGCTATTGATCTAAATAGTGTTTCTGTTGGTTTTGTCCCTACCTACATCTGCCATGTCACACCAGCGATTGTTTCTGTAGCAACTGGAGACATCTCAGATCCTTATTCTGAGTGCGAATTCACATGTTCTCTTGATTACAAACATAAAGCTTTCAGGAGTCCTTTGACTCCATCTGTGCACACAGAGAATGCTACTTTGGAGCACAGATCATATAGTTAAAACAAGTATGCATTAACATTTGAAGCTCCAGACTGGATAAAAACATATGTAAGGACTTCTTACACCTGAAGGCATTTCTGGCAGCAATGAAATGGTTTAGTCTGCAGAACTCTAAAACCCATGCTTTCCCCTAGAAAGCACTCAGTCAATTCTATCTTTTTTTCTTCTTTTCGTTTAAACTTATTGAGTCATCTCACTATAGCTCCAACTTGCATCAGGCTTCACTTTGGAATTCTGCATGCTTGTAAGGGTAGCAAGCAGCTTTGTTTCTCTACACTGTTTGCCACTGTTTCAAATCCTAGAAGGAAGACTACAGGAAAAGCTCTGAGATTATTTGATAAAAGGAAAAAAGAAAAAAGTATTACAAAGAAATTATTTCAAAACTTTTTAATTTTGTAACTACATGATTACAATATGATGTACCTATAAGGCAATCCCAAGTTGTTTTCAATGCTTTCTATTTCATACCTTGTCAAGTTAGGCACACTTTCACAGAATCACAGAATGGTTGTGGCTGGAGGGGACCTCTAGAGATCAACTGGTCCAACCCCCTGCTCCAGCAGGGACACCCAGAGCACAGGGCACAGCGTGGCATCCAGGCAGGTTTGGAAGATCTCCAGAGAAGGAGCCTCTCAGGGCAGCCTGTGCCAGGCTCTGTCACCCTCCCAGTAAGGAAGTTCTTCCTCATATGCAGATAAAACTTCCTGGCTTTCAACTTGTACCCATTACTCCTTGTCCTGTCACTGGCCACCCCAGAGAAGAGTTTGGCCTCATCGTCCCTACCCCCTCCCCTCAGGTCCTTGTACATGTTGATCAGATCCCTCTCACTCTTCTCCAGACTAAACAGGCCCTGCTCGCTCAGTCTTTCCTCACATGATGGCTGCTCCAGTCCCTTCATCACCTTCGTGGGCCTGCCCTTCCCCTCTCCAGAAGCTCCACATCCCTCTTGTGCTGGGGAGCCCAGAACTGCCCCCAGTGCTCCAGGTGCCTCCCCAGAGCTGAGCAGAGGGGCAGGATCCCTCCCTCGCCCACTGGCAACGCTTCTGCTGCTGCAGCCCATTGGCTTCTTGGCCAGGAGGGCACATTGCTGCTTCGTGGTTAACTTGGTGTCACCCAGGACTCCCAAATCCCTCTCTGCAGAGCTGCTTTCCATCAGATCAACCCCTAATCTGTGCTGGTGCCTGGGGTTATTCCTCCCCAGGTGCAGGACCCTGCACTTGTCCTTGTTGAACCTCATGAGGTTCCTCTCTGCCCAACTCTCTATCCTGTCTAGGCCTCCCTGAATGGCAGTGCAGCCCTCGGGAATGTCGGCCACTCCACCCAGTTTGGTGTCATCTGCAAACTTTCTGAGGGGGCACTCTGTCCCCTTGTCCAAGTCACCGATGAACAAGTTGAAGAGCACTGGGCCCAGTACTGACCCCTGCGGGACACCACTGGCCACAGGCCTCTAACCAGACTCAGCCCCATTTATCACCACCCTCTGGGCTCTGCCATCCAGCCAGTCCTCAATCCACCTCACTGTCCACTCATCCAGTCCGCGCTCCAGCTTCCCCATTGGGATGTTACAAGAGGCGGCGTCAAAAGCCTTGCTGAAGTCAAGGTAGACAATGTCCATGGCTCTCCCATTGTCCATCCAGCCGGTCACCCCATCATAGAGGGCTATCAGGTCCGTCAAACATGACTTCCCCTTGGTGAATCCATGCTGACTACTCCTCCTCACCTGCTTTTCCTTGACATTCTTTTCAGTTTATGCTTGAGTTTAAATTTCCCAGGTGATCATGCCTAGTTTGGATTAATACGATTTCCGAAATGCACTTTGCTACCAAGGTACATTGTTGACTGGGGCCTGGTATTAACTATAGCTTTTATGTGGCAATAGCTGATACTTAAACAAAGCATGTACACATTTAAGAGCTCAATCCCGCAAACAGTTACATCTCTGTGTATATTTAATGCAGTTCAGCTGCACAGAGGCCCATTGATTTTAATGAGTCTCTTTGTGAGAGAAGGTGAACTCTTGGGGTAACTGCTAACTAGACCCGGCATTAAGGCTGTATGAGAAAGCTTAACGAACTCTCCTAGGCTCCAAACATGGAAATTGGGACTGTTTTCTTCCCTAGTGTGTTTGCAAAGGCACAGGGTTTCATAAATTTCTAGTGATGGATTTTCATCTTTTAATGATTCCTCATCCCTCAGACATTTGTTTATAAAGAGCGATGAATTCCACAGGCTCTTCTGGTAGTCCTTATTATATTTTTGATCAAAGTATCTAATTGAGGTGAGCCCTTTCTTTCCTCCTAATTGCTTTATTTGCCTTCCTGTGCTGGCGATCCTAACCTAATCTACCACTCCATGCTCCTGCTTGAGCACTTCTGGTTTCTTCCATGTTTATTCACTTTTCCTCTCTCAGTTTCCCTCACCACCGGCATGCCTGCCTTCTAATTGAACTGTTTTTATTCACGTCTTGGCTTTAGCAAAGTTATAAGTAGTAAACAGGTAAAGGATGCCTACCCTGGGAGTTAGGTACAACTTAGTAATCTTGATATCTTTACCCTTGATGTTTCATTTAAAATGGAGTTGAGGTAATGCTTTACCTTCACTGTCATGCTCAGACACAGGCTTTGTGAGCTGACTGAGGAATATGTGCAACAGCTTTTTATTTTCAAACAGTTTAATCCTGCACAAATATCCCCTCTACCTTCAAAAAAGGATAGGTAATTACATGAAGGTGGCAACAGCTGCTGATTTCAAATTTCAGAAACAACCTTTCTCGTAAGTCAGTCAAATGAGTAAAAGGTGCTGAATACCCTGGGGACACTGAGTTACCTGCACAGCTCCCATGAGATGAGATTGCTTTCCCTGCATTTGTCTCCTACAGGTTAGCAAAGGTTGGTATTGATCTTTAGTACTAGAACGTTCCTGGGCTGCTCTATAAGTGACAGAGCACCCATGTGCAATTTTCTAGTTGGGTATATTTAGGTTAATATATTGACAGGCAGAGCTGCAGTTCACCAACCCGATATCACATCTAGCAATATTTAAAACACTTGATGCAGAAAAAGGACATTAGATTTCTGGACTGATATGGATGGTTTATTAGAGTATGCCATCTGCTCTTAAATACACAAGCTCATCAGAGCAGAAAGTGATGGCATGTAAGGCATTTTAACTACTAATTTGCCTCAACTCCAGCTCCATTTGGCTTTTGTATTATTTCAAAAACGGGTTGTTAAAATTGCTGAAATCTAAATCTCAGCTACAAAGTTTTGGGACCTGTTAGCCTGAGCTCCTTCAGCACTCCTGAATGTCGGCAAGAGTCAGAAACCAAAACTTGACACAGCTGTAAAAACACAGAGAGAGCCTGTGGCCTCAGCAAATTCTACCAGTG